ATACGTAGATATTCTGATGTTATGCTCAAGGCATAAGTCAAGGGAGGTGGCTATTGAATATGTGATGAGGCATATAGTCCAGGAGTTGATATCATTTTGCGCATCACCGAAAGGCTATCCCAGGGTGGCGTTAGTGCTCGGTGTGATCCAAACATTTTGCGTGCAAATGTTGATTCCGAGTCATCTCAGAGGAGCCATTCTGATCAAGAAGCTGATCATAGCATCAATGACAAACTTGAAAAAATGCCATCGGAAAGGTTGCACTTGATGGAGAAGGAAGATTTGTTCCACTATGAGCAATGTTGGCATCCGATTGAAAGGCACGCAGGCGGAATATCCGAATGAGCTAGGGATTTGTTGTCGGAGAACGATGTGGAAGTAGTTGTGAATGAGATTTGACAGAATCAAATTCAACAATTGGAGTCATTGTAGGAAGGTCTACATAGCGTGGAGAATGATTTGGCTCAGTTGAATCCTGAAGCTGACTAGCGACTCTAATATCCCTCAAATGAAAGACTGCAAACCAACTACATCCAAGTGCTTGAGTCAAGCCAACATAAGTGTGGAAAATTGTTTGATCCGACTTATTTTGTCCAAGATCAATCAGCTAGAAGGAAAGCTTGTACAAAAGTTTGATGGTTTGGATGAGAGAATGAGATCAGTGCAGAGCATTCTGCAGAGATTGGACATGAAGATGGTTTAGATACTCTCTCTGCAACAAAATCTGCACTTAACGTTGAGTTTCTTCATGTCGAAAGTGGACAGAAGCATTGAGTATTCTCAAGATCTTGCACATCAAAATGTTGCACATGATAAGTCTTAGAGAGATATTCTACTCCTCTATAGGTTCTATAAGACCGGATGTATCTGTGAAATAAAACTAGAAGTAGCTAAGGAGTTAATCATGGTTAGGATAGCTAAGTCTAGCTAGTTATGACTAAACTAGTTAGTTATAACTAAGTTTATCTAGTCATGACTAAGTTTAGCTATAATAGCTATTAGCAGAGTTAGCTATTAGCAGAGTTCTAGAAGAGTGGAATGAACACTTCTATTTTGTCTTCTACAAAAAGTCTAGATTCAAAGAATTAGACTTTTGACTACAAGCTTGGATTTAATTGGTTTAACTAAATGTATGAAAGATGATTGGTTAGACTAAGTCTAATGTTGACTTAGTGGCCAAGAAGCTTCTAGAAGTTTAAAGCTTCCAATGACATGTCGCCACCTCAGCCTCGGATTGCGAAAACTTCCAGAAGGTTTAGATTGGCCAATGGCATGTCGCCACATATAGTGGGTTAGTCAAACTTACCTAGGGAAAAGTGAGTTAAGAGAACTTACCACATGTTACTATGGTAATTTCTCAAGTAGTATAAATAGACAGTTAGACTAGCACCTCTCAAGCAAGTTTGGAGAGTTTATATGTAGAGACTTGTTTTATATATGAAAGAGTGATGATTTTCAGTAACTTGGAGTATCGATGAATGTATAATTTGGAATGATACATTGAGGGATTGTGTGAGAAGGTGTTTGGGCTATGAGTATGATGAGGAATCCTAGTCTTCTAGAACCATGATGAGCTACCTAAAAGCCATTTGAGGTAAACCTGAGTGAGACTTAGCCCGGAGGTTGCACTTCGGAGTGCTGCGATCTTCTGACTGTAACTATTCTCTACCGTTACTTTCAAATCTTGAAAATGCTGTAGTGCCTCGTCTTTGGTTCTCAAAAAAAAATCCAGGTATACCTGGTAAAATTGTCAGTAAACATCAGTATATATCATTTTTTTGTTAAGTATTCAGAAGGAAGAGGCCCGCATGAGTGAAAGTGTAATAACTGTAATGCACAAGTTGTTTGAGTATGAGAGTGCTTGGAAATACGATCTCGACTTTGCTTTGATTTCAGACAAGTTGCACAAAGAGATTTAATGTGACGAATCTGAGGAATTCCTACAACCAGCTTCTCAGGCGCCATCAAATAGAGTTTTTGACAATTTGCATGATCCATACTACAATGCCAAAGTTCTGCTTGAGAAATTGAACAGGTTTGAAGATCGGATTAGGCTACTCTATATCCAAACTTTAGTGAAACAAAGAAGTTGTGTTGGGGAACATGATGCTGTGATGGCTCGTGAGAGATTTCCAAGCTTAATCAACTTGTATAAACTGTTATGTGGATCACGTTGTCCCTGCAGTAGTATGCTATGTGGATTACTTCTATCAAATACATAACAATTTTTGGAGTTAAAAGTGCTATATGGCTTAAATCAGTCAGACGTCCATCAGACATCAAATTTTTCTTCACACCAGGCACGTAAAAAACATCAGACACTTTCTTTTGATTCACTATAAGTGAGCACTTTCCACAAATTGGAAGAACTTGATTGCCTGCAGTTCTAACTCAGATATGGTCAGCTTGATTTTTGATATTAGAAAGAAGTGAACTATTCCGGTTAAGTGTGAGAAGTCTCCACTATCAAAAAACCATGACTGTTTTTCTTCTACTTGACTCAAAAATGCAAAAAGTACCTTTGCTGCATCGTTGGCTACTGTATTGTATACGGCAAGAGTAACAGTGTTATCAAAGAACACAACATCAACTTCTTCAAAAGCAACCTTGCGATGGTCATAATGAACATCGAGATAACATTGCATGTTGTTTGCTTCGGACTGCTTTGAATTCTTGAGAGGTTTATAGCAGATCTAAAGTGGTTCGAGCTCTTTCTGAAGTTGGTGCTGACGGCATTCATACGACCGGTGTCCCATTTCTCCGCACTCATTGCAAGTGCCAGGTTTCAAGCTCGGAGTAGCAAACAATGAAGAGCTATTTTAGCTACTGTTATAAGATCTTTCTTGAGAACGCCAAGGTGAAATATGAGAGTTAGTGTATATATAAGTAGAATGGTTACGAGAGGCATGGTGATTGTGAAACTCATTCTGATCTTGGTTGCTCAAGTTTCTTCTATCAAATCCGTGGTAATTGCGATCACTGTTGATTCGTTGGAATGAAGTAGATATTCTCTTATCTGTATGATATTGCTGCTTGTCTTGTCTGCTACGCTGGGTGGTGGCAATAAGAGACTCGGCTGATTCGTCTGTTCGATTAGATCCGACCTCACGAGTCATTTCTTCATCAGTAAGAAGAGTAAAAAATTGTGAAAGCGTATAAGGATTATGAACAATGCTAGCTTTAATGGAAGAAGCAAATCGTGACCAACTTGTAGGCAAACTCATCAAAATGAGAGGTATAAGTGTTGAATCTTTGACTATATCGTTGCACTTTGACAGTTGGTTAGTGAGATTTCTCACAGCACGCATGTGAGTTTCTATAGACTGACCCTCTCTCATTGAGAGATTGGACAGATTTTGTCGCAAGAGCTGGCGTCGATCCTCACTAGCAAAAACACAAATAGTGTCTCTAGCTCTTTCCACATCAAGTGAGGATCAGACATGGCAGAAATATGATGAACAATGTGCTCACGCACGTTCATCATAATGTAATAAACAGCGCCATCACGTTGTTTGAGAATGATGTCAATAATCTCATGAATCTCTTTGTTAGCAGCATCTCGTTCTTGCTTGACCATAATTGCATTTTTACCTGCATGATCACTGAGTCCTTCCGGAACCTCAAGTGCAGGTAGTAACTTTAGTAAAACATCGCTTCGTTTGACTGTAGCATAACATTTCTTCTTGCATAATATGGCTCGCATTCGCGCAGCCCAAGCAGTGTAGTTGTCAATGCCGTCTAGCTTCTGTGTTGGGTTGATGTACTTCGCTTCTCTTGAGGAAATCCATGGTTCCAAACGGAAGAGAAAGGAAAAAAAACTTCAAATATTGAGGTCATCAAGTTAAGGCATTTGCAATCTTAATTGGAGTATCAAAGAGAACACTTACACTTTGATACCATGTTGGAATCACTGATTTGTGATCAGTCAGATTGTTTTAATCTAATCAGTAAGAAGTTCTGTACATATAGTGTAATAGTTTATAACGTTAATCTATAACGGTAGTGTAATGGATAAATGATCATTTGAGTCCACTCTTGTGTAATATTAGCACTCTAGGAGTAACTTTCGAATCTAACTTATTCTAACACACTTAGCGTGTCCACATGTAAACAGGACAGCCTAGATTGTACTGCAGTCGTTGTTATCCAAATGTGCAATTTACGAAGAGCCTATTGCAGCAGTAGGAAAGTACGATTATAAGAACATCACTCTTCTTATTAGGCACTTGTTACACTCTAGTGCTAAGAGAAGGACTGAACACGACCAGTTTAACAAGTTGATATACTGTATTTCCTACAAAAATTATCCGCAGAGGAATTATCTGATGCTATTCTTCCTTGGAGACTATTTGCAACTTTGATAATTCAAATATTTGAATGCAAATTATCAGGATTTACCATTGGTGTACTAACTTATTTGTGAGGTTTCAATCTGTTTCATTTTTTTTTTCTCGATTTAGTAATTATGAGTCATTTTATAATAAATCAAAAGTCAGACAGAGAGCAACCAAAATAAAAATCTTTGATCTCAATTTATTTTCAACGTGATTTATAGATATAATGTGAACATTCGATGTGTACATTAGATTGTGATTATATATATATACTTACTAATTACGAGGTCTGTTGCAAAACCTTGGGCAGCTTTTTTTGAGAAAGGTAGGTGCACACATTGAACTTGTAAAGCACTCACTCTTCAATCACCGTTTCAAGAACAGTTCGAATCAAATCTCAGGATTTGAGCTATTGCGAACCCAAGGTTTTGTAGCAAAATTTCCATCCACTGTAAGTATATACTATACAATAGAACTAAACATTCAACGGCGTCCTCTTCCAGCACTCACGCAACTCCAAAGAAAGAGTGACAGTGCATAAAAGGTGCATATCCATGAGCTAAAGCTATTCCAGGAGACACCTCGCCTGTGCACAAATTATCATGACGCTTGCCAAAAAAGAAAACTATTGAAGTCAGTTATTACAAAACAAGAGATGATAAGATTGAATGATCCAACTGACTTTGCCTTGCAGGTGGCATCCATTAGAAGGACTAAATTGAATATAAAATTGTTGCAGATTCAGTTGTGGACTCTGGAGCCCAATGAATAGACTGATAACGGCTAGTCGGAGACTAAAATGTAATACTTCTACAAGTAAATCAGAAACGTGTTGTGTACAATCTAATGGAACAAATCTTCTCTTCAAATCTCCTATGAGCTTTATGAACATCAAAGCCGCCGGTATTTGCCTCTCTACTGTACTCGGAAAAAGAATGGTCAAGATACAAAACTGGAAGATACAAAGGAAGAAGCCTAACTTTACAAAACCTGCTCCTGCAGTATTTGGAAAAAAATAAACCTCAACCTGGAACATGCAAGACATGTTCGAATGTTGCTGGCAAATCATCTGAAGAGACCACATTCTTCCTCTCAGTGCCTGCGACCTTTCACCAATGCATCTTCTGTCTTGTGTCGGTACAACTTTGCCATCGCCTTCCGCTCACAGTCCTGACACAACCCGAATATGAATCATTCGATTCGAATGATTTGTACTTTTTAAGTAGTTAAACACACAATCATGAATTGATGAAGTTATTCAGAATGTTGATCTCATGGTTTCATGAAGCGAAATAGAGAGAATTAGTAAAAATGAATAAGTTCACTAACCTTAAACATGTGAAGCCGAAACTGAGAGTTTGGGTTCGTGCGCACAAGCTTCATGTACGTGTAAGCGAAACTCAACTGATCTCTTGGCGTAAACCGGTCAACTTCGTTAAACCAAAGACAAGAAAATAAATTGGACATAGGAGTATGTGCCCTAACAATGAAGGATCCTTCCGGCACATCTGCATTTCAAGAAGCTGGATGGTGAGATGGATAGAAAAACAAGGCAGGCACTTCAAAAATAGCTCCCATATTTTTTTTAACAACCGTCCTGACAATTTTCTATGTTTGCAGTCCAAAAAAACTCAAACCAGACCAATTGCGCATGACTTTAAATTCGTCACATTTAGGAAATTGTTGTAGCACTCTTAAACTCTGGTGAGGTTTGAGTGGGATATGGAAATGGTGGTGGAATAAAACAGACGTAGAAATCTATGCACCAAGTTTGCTACGAGATTTAGTCCCGAGCCATCAGACACGAAAGACGTCAGACTTACGGCTTGGTAGGAGCTTCTCAGGGTCGGATGCATTGAAGCGAATCAGTCCATCAGCCTGATAGAACGCAAATTGCTGATCGATGACAGAGTGATTAAACTTGTTTAATTTTTTGTTTTGTTCTACTTCTTCCCACACACAGTGCCGATCATAGTGATTTGAAATAGCGTATTCATGATGTCCACGCCACAAAAAGTACTCCAAAATCAGGAGAGGATCACTTTGCAGGCGTAGCTTGCTGTCCAGCCACACAGAATACCTGCACCCAAGGGAGACGGTAGACCACACTGAAAGATGTTCATCGAAGCTAAAAGACGACCGTATTGCACATTGACGCGGGAACAATCGACACACTACGCTAAAGAAAAGTACCAAGGCCACACCACTTTGAGGTCATGATATTAGGTTAGAACTGCAACAGGGATACCTTCCCATGGGACAACGAACGTAAAAAACGGTACCTGGCATTAGGAAACAACCGATGAGTCAAGAACTTTGGCACTTTTCCCGTGCGACGGTTGTCGGAGTAGGGTGCATTTTTTATAAGCACTATTCTCCATAAGCCAAGATTCATGTTCTCGTCAGGAGATTCACCCTCCTCGATCATGCCATCAAGACTCGGTTGGTCCACAAACATTGCAAAGCATACTTTCTTCTTCGAAGCACTAGTAACCTGGAGCCAGATGAAACGAAAGAATCGTGTCACTCGGCACCGCCATTACTCGCAAAAGACAATATTTTAGCCTGGCGTATTTAAGCACATCTACAGAAGTGGACATAAGATTTGAAAAATTCCTGATTAATCTGAAACACACGGTTACAAGCATTCTTGACACTGTGGTGGAGTATATGCTGCGTGAAGCTACGATCAGTACTTCGGATCAGTATGGGTGTAATAAGAAGAGCTATTCAGGGATACCTTCTTCCCAGAAGGATTCCGAATGTGATCATAATTGCCGAAGATGCAGGACGAGACGGCGATGTGGCACGTCTGTAGGTAATCCATATCGTCCTTGCTAATCTCAAAGCCTGTCCCTCGATACCCGTCAGGTGCTTTGACGAATCCACAGTGCAAGGTTTGATCCTTGGCCACAAAGGAATCTTCTCTCTCTAAGAGAGTTTGATGTCCTGCAAACCGTGGCTCCCACAGTGAATCGTCCTCTGGTTTCTCCTCCATTTCCCAGTACTTCAGTGAGAAGCTCTCAAACCTCGAGCTGTCTGTGGGCTCTCTCAGTCCTTTGGTAGTGTTGAGAAAGGATATCTCGCAAGGAAGAGCTGTCACATAGAAATGATTCAGATAGAGAAACATATTCCATCCTATCAGGTTGACAAGTTTATTGCGTGAATCAACAATACGACTGTTGCTAGACGATCACACAATTACGAGAATTCACATATCATAGCGTTTACACTATGATACAACAGCTGTCAACCAGGAAGAACCACATAACAGAGCATCTGAAAACATTCGTACTTGTGCGCTTTTTCTTCTTCTTGGATTTTCCAGGCAACTGTTCCTGCTGCACCAGCTCCTCTTCATCCTCCTCAGAGCGAGACATATCGTCGTCATGGGGTGTATCATCGTATTGATTCAGCACCTCTGTATCTTGACCTGCAACAGCACTGGAAACATTCTTACGTCTACCCCTTTTCAGAGCCTTAGAAAGTTTTCCTGAGTTACCTTTAAAAACAGCTCGAGACTCTATCTTAACGGACGGATCTGTTCTATGTGCATATAACTGAGCTTCTCTCAAAAAATCGATAAATCTTGGATCTTCATCCGCTTTAAGATTTGAGGTAAGACTGGATATAGATCCTCCTGGATCATCATCCTCGTTCGCCTTTCTAAATGTCATGTTCTGCTCGATTTTATCATCTGCAAACTTATCTAAAAACAAGGTTGGAACTTCCTGCGCGTTGGTATCAGTATTTTCTGCTGTGTTCTCATCATGATCTACCTCAAACATCTCTTCAATGTCATTCTTCAACTCTTGTTGGAAGAATCCGTCCTTATCAAGCCCTGTATGAGTATCCCTTGACTCTTTTCTCATATCCGCATCGCTGTATACTTCAAACAAAGAACTACCATGTCGGTTGTCATGGTTGGATGAGCGAAACTGTGAACTATATTTCCGTGGTTCCTTCCTACCGTATTCATGGTCTAATCCTAAGGTGATGGCCCTGTCCTCTCTTGATTTCGTCTCTCCTGACAGCCCGACCATTTTCTCACCAGTCTCTTTAAGCTCCAACTTTTCCGACCTGACCTTATCATGGACATCGGACCCCTCTTTTTGTCTGTCACTATTATCCCAGTTTTTTGGATCTGCGTCCAATCTTGCATCAAGATCATGGTCCAGACGGAAGCTTTCCCTGTTTTTGCCAAAAGTGGAGCTTCTATCAGCTTCACTTGCACTTTCTCTGCCGGTGTCTGTCTGACGTGAAATCCCCCTCTCCCTGTGCGTGATCTCATGTGATTCCCTTGCTGTAGTGACAACATCAACCCAATCCCAACCCACCCTAGAAGTTATCAACCACACGCTTAGCAGTCCTTTTGATGCTTCATTACTCATTTCACAGTTGTTGCAGCAATCATGATCGAGAGTTTTGGTGCGAGAGGCTCCCAAACTGACGGCCCAGGCGTAGATTGCACCAGAAAAGTAAAGTAAAAGACAATGTACGGGGATACTGGAAACAACAAATTGTCAAAGTTTGGTACCATCGACAGAAGGGCAATGGAAGCATTGCACAATCAACGAGCACCCTGTATGCGAGTTGATTGGGCTTGAAAGGCAAGATGCCCTCGCGCGGATCATCCCAACTATCCTCATAACACGCGTACTTTGGGTACAACATAAAAGTACACCCCTAATGTTTGCAAGCGTATTGAGCAAGAAGGGACTAGAGAGTCTAAAGTAAACTCGAAGAAAGCTGGTCCCTCGAAACCCCCTTTGAGAACTAATGTTCCCGGCTCACCTGCTACTTTAACACCAGTCGTTGAGGACGCGAAAGGGGTCTTGTCTTCGCTGGCAATTTCCCATCCTCCCTGCCAAGATTCATTGGAAAAGACAATCAGCAGACAAGATACAAACGAAACTTTCTAACTTGCACAATTTCTTCTGGATCTGCAGGCTGACACGACGAGATTCTTTCCAACAAGTTGAAACACACTCAACCTTAACTACTCGAATCGGATATGCCTCGTCCTCGGTGTTGGTTCACTTCGTTAACTTAATTCATGACAAATTGTGATCTGGTAAGCAAAAAAAGTATCAACCTTCCCCAAGACATGCCAAGCCTATAATTCTCAAGGGTAATAGGCTCGCTATGTCAGAATATCAGAAATGTTGCAAACGCATCAGATGGAGGTGACTGAAACGTGGAGGGCATACCTCATCACTTACATCGGGCAAAGCGGAGAAGCTTGATTCACCTGAAAGCGTGCGGTAATTCAGCAGAAAGAAATTGTACGTGGCATACGAGACTCTCAAAAGACTGGAACGCACAGTAGCAAGCAACTCGATAAAACGTCTCCACTGCTAGGAGGTAATGTTACAGAAGAGAAAGAAACCACCAGACTGATATATGGAGCTGTGAACTGACAAAAGTATCAGGTAAAAGAACAAGCGATGTGCATGCTGCCGAGGAGGTCGTTCTTCATGCACAGTGAGTGGACCGAATGCATCAAAAGTCTTACGACAATCAGCGGAGAAGAAAACCAACCTTTAAAATTTCGCACTAATGGGAAGACATAGTCAGTCCCGAAGATCGTAACTACAACGCCCACCAACAGAACCAATGCAATTGCTCCAATTGAGCATTTTCGACTCCTACTTGAGCGCCCCAACCTCTTCGCTTTCATCGACCGACTTCTGACCAAACCCAGATAACCTTTTTGTTCTGCCTTGACATGATCGTGTAATCTGAAAGGAGAACCTGGCCTGTGATCCCCATTCCCTGGAGGAGGCATGCCGACCTGGTAAGGCCCGGATCCTTGCCTGTATAATGCCATACATTCCTCTTTCTCTCTCCCTCTCTCTGAGCCTGGTATGGATGGCTCTTCCGAATTTCTTTCAGTGATTGTCACCTGCCGCCATTCTTTACCAGTCCTACGGCAACCTCGTAATAGTTTCCGAATTTTCTATACAGCCAGTAAAGAACAATTCACCACTTTTTTTAAATCTCACTGCTATGATGTCGCCAAATAGTGGGAATGGTAGGGCACTGATCCATTCACAGGAGCGCGCGGCAAACTCCTCAATGTCAAACCGACGACGGAGAACAACGTCACAAGAACGACCCTGATCCGACCTTTCCCTCGCCAACGCGCGCCCAATCTCACCTGTGGTCCACGTTTGAATTTTCGGATGACAAGAACTCCGCGCCGAGAGCAAATGCGGCATCCGCTTGTGCCCTCGCGTCCCCGGACACTGCCTTCACAATCAAGCTTGTCCCATTCCGCTCTTGAAAGAGCTGAAATTCGCTCTAGGGTACGCACCCCACAACTCACCCTCTCTATCTCTGTCTCTCTCCCTGTAATTGATAAAGTGAGGATCTTCTTCACTCAACGAATCAAAACCAACAAATCGCACAAGTTCGCAATATAATACACGACAATGTGGGAATAGCAATGCCCAATCGAGCTTGCACGCAATTCCTCCTCGCGATCCGCACCGACGGCAACGCGCAATCCGGTCTCAAGATCCACAGCTGCTGCCGTGCTCTGTTCTCGGCTCCCCTGCCCTGCGCCCGTCCCCACCCAGCCCCGTCGTCGCCCACCACCACTCCGCTCTCGCTCTATCCATGTCTCACTCTCCCATTGCCCACGTCACGGAATCGGCCTTAGATTTGCACGAGCTTCCACAAGCCACCGATCCGCTGCAGCATTCAGCGCAACCCGTCAGCGGCGCCAGACCTGCCCTGCCCTGCCACAGACAGACACACAGACACACACAGACGCACAGCATTGACTTGACTTCATTCAATTTCTTCCTCCATCTCCTCTGCTGTGCATATCTGTCGTCTGCGAGTGATTCTGAAGCTCCCCCCTCTGACAGTGCGCTGCTGCTCGGCCCCGACTCAGAGCTGCGTCAAGGCCCTTGACTTGCGACCGATGATGTCCACCGTCGTCATTTGCCGGTCCGCAGTCATCACTGAAGCCGCAGCCGCGGACTGCGCCACTGGACGGTGGCTGTCTCTGGGGCCGAGCAGCCCGCCACGTGCAAAACGAGACAAAATGCAGCGCGATTTGCGTTGTAAGTTTCCTTCCCATTCGACCTCCCGCACTGGCTGCAGCCCGTAGTCGGCCGGTCGGTCGGTCGGTCGGCCCGTCCGTCTTCCGGCCGTCCGTCCGTCCCGTTCCCGCTCCGAGATGCCGATCGCCTCGTACGGCTGGCTGAAGTGCGTTCCGGGCTACGTCTTTCGTGCCCGGTTTTCCGGACGGCTGACGTCTTCTTCGGGTCTGCCGGGCGACGCTCCTCCTCCGCGTCCGCGTTCAAATCTCCGAGCCGCTCGCTCGGTTCGTTCGAAACATCGCGACAGCGATCGCCGGCCGAGGAGGGCGAGGTTCTCGCCCTGGGACAGCGTTCGCGATGTGAAACGAGTTCGTGCAGCGTTCGTCGAGCTGGATCGCCAACTCGGGGGAGCTTCGGGATTTTTCACACGACATCTGGAACGCGCGGATGCCACCGTGACTTCTCGTCGCTTGGGTTGCGGCACGAAACCCGTCACCGCTTTCCTTGAGTTCCTCGCCGTCTCCCGTCGTTTTCTTTAAGGCGCTCCTCTTTTCCCGACTGGCTGCACTTTTCTCCCCGCTTTGGCATGAATCCGTCCATCGAATTGCATGGTTCTCTATTCTTCTCTCCCGCCCAACTTTGACATTGTTTTTGGCCTTTTCGCATCCCTTCCTCAAGGACTGCTCCGCCTTCTCCGCTGTGTCCTCTTTTCTATACGAACGTTAATTTCCTTCACTTTCATAAGTACTCACTTTCCTGCGGACAACAACAAACAATATTCTTCAGCGAGAACTAATGAGGACGATTTTAGGCTTCTAAATCCATACAACTCATGGTAAATAGATTGTCAACTTACAAGACCTTCAAGATACGGGAGTAGATTGTAGACTGATGGAGGTTGTAGTTGGATACAGTTACAACTTGGCTATTCGATAAAAATAATCAAATTTGGAAAAGCTTGCTCATCAATACTGAACCTTCTACCTCGGGTAGCATTGGGCAAGCAACTTGTTTCGGGAGGTTTTTCCCAAAACTAAGGCACTAGTATGTTAAAACGTCATTCTACTCCAAACCCTCTACCTATTAGACCTTCCATTAATATATGTTTCCAAAGAAGGAGAATGAGAGTCAAAAGATTACCAGAGTTTGTTTAGAAGTGGATCCCACAGAAGAAGAGTATATACCTGCATTCATCCTGAATCCATCGTTAAAGACAATATCGTCTTGAATGTTTAAGAGAAAACAAATATTTCACACAAGTACAAAGCCAACTTGCGTTTATGGAATTTTGTGTGCTTGTATGTGGTATCGAAACAAAGGCATATAACACCGGCATGACGGTCAACGGTCTGATGGTATTGAACCCCAACATTGTTGAGCGCAGGTGAAGGGCCAACTCATAACACTTGGCATGGACGCTTCACATGTACATTTTTAATTCAATCTGTTAGTGACGAGATATAAGCTTCGGTTTCCTGTGTATCCTGCATCTTGATGTCCAGGAGGCATACAGGAAGGAGTCTCGTCTCAAGAACGGGATCCTAGATTATCTGTGCTTACAGTACCGATAAATCTATTTACAAGTATAGATTTTCCCCTCAGTACAGATGAAATATATAGTCATGAGTCTAGCACTGGATACGAATTATTTTCCATTTCTCATTTATCTGATTCACAATTTCCCCAGCTTTGAATTGCTGACAAGGACGTTAGCATTTGAAGGCACTAGACGTTCTGCAGCGGACGCCGATGATTTCCGTGAAGAACTAAGAAATCTTGACGACCGTGACGGACGAAGTGGACGACGGACGGAGTCTTTGAGGGCAAAACGAACCAACTTGTGCTAGGATGCAGTTGAAACGGAAACGCGTCTCCATATGGTTTGAAATTTGAAACTATGCTTCCACGACGAAGAAATTCCAAGTAAGCCATCATCTGACTCTGGGTCAGACGAGGGGTTCACATGAGTCAGCAAAGAGGGTTTGATACAATGCAAACTTGATCGAAATTAAATCCGTGGTTGGATAAATTTGGGACTCATATTGAAAAATTTCGGCTGTATTGAAACATGAGAAAAGAGTACCTTCTGTTGCAGAAGAGCTTGCTCGGCGTGTGACAAAGTGCCTCAAATATGAAGCTCGCAAGTTGCAGCTAATAAGGTTCGGGTAGCAATGCTTTAATCGAGGGCCGATTTAATGTTCGCCGAGGGTTTCGATCAGGATGATATTTCGGGTTCTCAAATTCACCTACTTCCAAATTCCACTATACGTCAAGAACGAAATCTTAGAAAGAAAATCGAAGGATGTAGATGTGAAGCAGGACCAAATTCTGCCTACAATGCAGATAAGATTCCAGAGAAAAAGGAGGACCCCGAATAGGCTCAGAGAGAGAGAGAGATAATGCACTTTGTGGCGCAAGTTGAGATATTGAAAAGATTCACTGTGCGGAACCATAAATGGGGATCTCAATCGATCTCACAGTTGGCTCAAAATCCGATCGTAGATTCCGAGAGAGCGAACGAGAACCATTTTATAGGTGCAGGAGAGCCGGGGAAAAGCCCGTCGAATTGTGCGCCGTGGGAAATAACAATTTTCGCCGGTAAGTGAAATGTTCAGAGTACAATAAATCGAGGGCGAGCCGCACGCAGTTTACATTCCCCGGACGGACCGCGCTGGGAAATGTGCGAGCTCGAATTTGCATCTGGCGTGGAGTGGAGTGGAAGTGAATCTAGGTTCTGGATTGGCCCCTTGGGCTCGCACCTCCTTCCTCTACGTCTCCGGAGGACCTATTGTGTTGGGATTGACTCGGTCAAAGGCAGGCTGTTGGACGAGAACGAGGAGGAGGAGGAGGAGTAGGGCTAGGACCCCATCCATCCCTCCCTCCATAGCTCCCTTCAGAGGACGACGGATGGAACAAGGACGAAGAGCTTGACCGAAAGGCTCGAGCAAGTGGTGGATGGCAAGTTATGGAAGAAAGAAAGGAGGTTTGATTGCATGCCTGCACTTAGATTTCTTCTGCTTCTTCATCGGCTCGAGATTCTGCGGGTGGCAGAGGAGAGAATGGGCGGAAAATTTGCTGGTGAGTCATAAATTGTTGTTGGCTCTCGTTGTACTTGTTTGGAAGACTTGGAAAGGTGGAGAGCAGAACCGTTTCGCTTGCAGTTGAGGGGGTCAACGAGTCTAGAGGAAGAAAGAAACTTGGGTGGCGTGATATTTTGGGTGTCGAGGGCCAAGCGGTGGGACTGGAGAGAAATGGAGGTGGACAGAGGTGGGATATGATGTGGAAGTCTGGAGTAGTTGTTGCGGTCAAAGGGTATGGTTGGATTGTGCTGGGGTAAAGGGAGAATCGGAGTCTCGCTTTGAAAGACCTCGTAATAAAGTATGAATATTCTGCATCCGTCGTCATCATGGAACCGGCAGTCTCGAGCGGGTGTGGGTGTGGAAAGGGATGTTTTCATGGACGTAATGATAATAAGGTTCTGCGACTCTGGTAAGAGATGGGGGTTATTCAGAGGTATATCCTTGACTGCGTGGGAGAATAAACAAGTCAGTTGCTGCTAGGCCCCATCACCATGGGACATGATCGGCTATGGAGATGATTGAATTGCGCCAGGCCGAGAGAGAGAGAGAGAGAGAGAGAGAGTGTGTGTGTGTGTGTGTGAAAGAGAGGACTAATGGATGGACTGGCGGATTTGATTTGCACACTTCTATTTCGATATGGTGACCCAATATCGGAGGAATTAAATATGATGCGTGTGTGTCCCAGGGAATGATGGGGTGTGACTCCACATTGTCGAAGATTGCGTTATAGGGCCGAGTCGGTGCTCTCTTCCACTGCTGCTTCCGCCTTCCTCCTCCCTTTCGCTGCTAGCCATTGGGGGAGGGAGAGAAAGACAGCCCCGCCTTGCTAGCTTCGCTTTGTCTTTTGTCCGGGCCGGACTTGGCCTGCTTGCCTGGCTGCCGCATTCTTCTTGCCCTCTTTGTTGGGTTCTCCCAATCACCAATACTGGGGCGCTACCTACTTACTCATCTTTTTGTGGTGGTGATTGTTGTCTGGTCTGTTATTCCACCATCACCAGCGTCTGTCTCGTTTCTCTCTTTCTCTGTTTCTCTCGTCTCTGCTACCCCCTCTGCTCTGCCCTGCTCTTCCCTTCCCTGCGCTGCATTGCCTTGCACTTTGCACTTGGTGTGCTCTGCTCTGTCCTCCGCACCGGGATACATTCACCCCTCCCATTAACCGCATGCTCCTGTTCATGGTCTGTTTTCTACCCTCATTTGGCAGGGTCTGGCATTCTTCCACACTTCCAAAAAGGTCATTCTGCTTCTGTTCTCCCCTTCTCTGCCTGACCAGCCTTTAATCTCAAGGCCCTTTCTTCTCTGTGGTCGACTCCCGGAGAGTGGAAGTAACAGAGCAGGTTGAAAAAGGTCCTGGGCGGGGGGGCCTCGAGTGTGGCTGGGTTGGGCCGGGCTGGGCTGTGAGCAGGACGGGTTCATCACATTTACCTACTACTTCTACTTCTTCTAGTACTGTGCCAGAGCAAAGCAGCAGGCTGGGTGGAAGGGAGGATGGGGGGTAGGGAAGGAAAGACTGAGAAGAGTGTGTGACAGTCTGCTGTTGTTATTGTAGCCTCGCAATTTCGTCTAGTCGTTCTTCTTCTTCTTGCTGGAACCTCGGTGTCCAATATGCTGAAACATGTGGGTGAATCCGGACGTTGAGAGGAGTGGAAGCTTCAACAGAACAAGTCGCATCGGCCCCTGTAAGAGCCCGGATGCTGGAGGTAGCTGGGAGGGCCGCTTATAAGTATTTGCCTCACGAGCACATGCACTTGACCTCCAGTGTCATTATGGAAAACTGAGATTGAGAGCCGGTTGTGTCTACTTCTTATACCCGGGTCGCATTCTTCTCTCGACTGTTTGGATGGGTGCCGTACAAGGTCATGCGCTTTATGATCTCTCGTATGACTAGTAGATTTGAGGTGATTTTTGTTCATGATGATAGCTTATGAGGAGAATAATAGCAACATTGTAGCTTTAGAGGGGTGGCAGCGTCAACACAAAAGTCTCCATGAGGGAGGGGGTGAGAAGAATCAGCTTCTCAGATGTATTCACGTACGAGGTGCATTTGAGCAAGCGAGCAGCTATGGACAGCAGGGTTTGAAGGCGATCACACAAGAGGAGAATCGGAGCATTGGGTCGGCCCAGGAGCCAGAAATTGTAGAATCTTGCTATTTGTAATCCATTGGTTCGAACCCAGGCGCAAGAATTTGCTGCTGCAGGAAGGAAAATGAAGCTTCCAGCATGTTCAGTCTGTCAGATGAATTACAACGAGGAGGACAGAGTGCCGATGATGCTGCAATGCGGTCACAGTTTCTGCAAAGAGTGTCTAGCCCACATGTTTGCCGTTTGCACTGATCATACTCTGCTCTGCCCTCGTTGCCGGCAGCCATCCAAAGTAGGTAACAGTGTGGAGGCTCTGCGTAAAAACTTTGGTATGCTCTCGCTCATTCGGCGGGCCTCTTCTGATTGTGGTGCCGAGTGCGATTCCGACGAGGACGAGGAGCTCACCGATTGTGCCTCCAATCCCTACTCTGATCGGTCCCGCAGCAACACTCCTCAGGCCAGTCCTGGCTGGACGCCTGGCTGTGGGGGCATCACCTTAGATCTTGGCTCCCATGCCCTTCGACTGCTGCGCCCTCTGAGCAACGGGCCTCGTCAGGGCCAGGATGTTTGGGCCGGTCTTCTCACTGGTCCAGGCGGATGTAAGCACAAGGTGGCTGTGAAGAGGGTAGAAATGCCGGAGGGCATGGACTTAGAGTGGATACAGGGCAAAATTGAGAACTTACGGAGGGCCGCTATGTGGTGTCAAAATGTATGCACTCTGTATGGTGCGTGTTCCAAAGAAGGCAAGCTTTGCATAGTAATGGACAAGTACCCCAGCTCAGTGCAGGCTATGATGCAACAGAATGAAGGTCGTCTCACGTTGGAGCAGATTTTGAGGTGCTCAGATTTTTTGACCTTTTGATCATCGTGATGTACTTAACTTTGGCAAGGATTCAGAGCAGTGAAAATTCTCGAGCTCATAGACTTGAATTTGGACATCTGTGAGACTCCTAGAACGCCCTTACGACTTTCAAACGGTATTCTGCTTGCGAATATGAACCCTAGGAAACTCCTCTTTGAAGTCTTCACGTCTTCGTGGAGCAGGAAATATTCTCGGAAATCCCGTTGATTCCAAGTACTATTCAAAGAATACAGCTCATGTAACCCACAGGAGTCGGAATATGTTTTCCATTGCAGTGCAGTAGATGGTGTCAAGTGTTTCTTAGTCAATAATGAGGGCCTCCTATGCAGGCCGTTGAATTACACTCATACCAGTCGGATACAAATCTCAGGCTGTCACTTTATTACAACAATATTCCTGATATATCATGTTGAATTCAAACATCACACAACCTTCTCTTTCCTTATGAAACGATTTTTGTCCTTCTTTTAAAAGTTGGACAGAGCGAAAACGACCTTCTCCATCTGAAGAGTTATTAAAGTCGCTGACAATCGTCAATCTATTGTAACCCCTGACTAGCATCACAAGAAATATGCACTCAACTTCTCAAGATTTCCCGTTCGTGAGTCATCCCTGCCTCCGTATTACAAACTGAACTAGATGTAGCCAGTGTACGATCTCTGTGTTACTTAATGTGGTTAGTTCTGTGTCTCCCCGAGTTACCTGATGACTATTCTGTTCTTATATCTAGTTTTTGCAATGAGCTTGGAGGACCGACCAGAGGTAGCCAATTGAGAAATCTGTTATCGACGTTAGCTGCATTCGTGAGCAAATGATAGGCACTTGGGTATTTGATAGCGCGTTTCATATGTGCAATAGCCATGATAAACCACTAATTTTCTTTTGGGATTGTCAGAGTTTAGTCAAGGGGTATCTGAGTTTCACAACTCGCAGATTATTCAGTTCTGAGCTTGGAAACCCGCTCAGCATTGGGAGGGCCGCTCCTTGTGGAAGTACTCTGTCATGAAGAAAACTTCGCTCCAGGCTGAAGCTTTCAATAGCGTCACAAATGCTGTTCTCAACTTTATCCATGTAGAGGCCGAGTGAAATGCTAATCTACCGATACAGCTCTAATGCCAAGTATGTTGTCTCTGCAGATATGGGGCTGACATTTCTCGAGGGGTTGCAGAGTTGCACGCCGCTGGAGTTGTTTGTATGAATTTAAAACCCTCTAATCTTCTATTGGATATAAGGGGACGCGCAGTTGTAGCTGACTTCGGTCTTCCTGAAATTTTGAAGAAACCACAATGCAAGAAAGCCCGTTTCAACGGAGGTGATGAGAATGCAACATTGATGCATTCTTGTATCGAATGCACTATGTTAAACCCTAACTACATGGCCCCTGAGGCTTGGGAGCCTCTTCGAAAATCTTCTTTGAATTTGTTTTGGGAGGATGCTGTTGGCATGTCAGCCGAATCAGATGCCTGGAGCTTCGGATGCACTCTTGTGGAGATGTGCACGGGAGCTGTTCCGTAAGCATCATAACACGAGCCAAATCTTTACTCTGATTGTGAAGTTCACACGAATGGTTACTTGTTGTGCTTTGAGATGCCCCCCTGACTGTCAAATGACTTGCTACAGATGGGGTGGCTCCAGTTCGGACGAAATTTACAGATCCGTTGTCAAAGCTCGACGACAACCACCTCAGTACGTTGGTATTGTTGGTGGAGGTATACCTAGAGAGTTGTGGAAAATGATTGGAGAGTGCTTGCAATTCAAACCATCAAAAAGGCCAACGTTTCATGCAATGCTCGCTATATTTCTTCGACATCTGAGAGAGATGCCGTTAAGTCCACCACCAAGCCCAGACAAGTATAGGTAATGGGCTGACTATCTCGTAACATCAAGATGAAAGCATACTGTAGATTAGATAGTTGACATCATCAGCTGAAAAGCATGTCACATTGATGAATAAGGAATATTATATAATCAGAAGTGTGAGCTACATATCTACGAGGTAGTGCAGAGCTTTGCCTTTGACTTGGCGTTTGTTTGTGGTGTTTTTAGAAGTCAATTGTCATTCTAGGCTCTCCAAGCTTGCCATCAGCTTAAGAAGCTACTTGCCGTACAAAACATCCTATTCAGGAATTTTTTGGGTCTTTGAAATATCCAAAGAGTGCTATCGCAAAATAATGGCATTCCAGCTGGGGTGTGAACTTACTTGATTCTCCACCTATCTGCAAAATTAGACATGTTCATAAAGTTGATGCATGGTTTTCCTAGGTGTCCTGCAGGCGGGACTGCCTGCATTCTGGTTTTCCTTTCGATCCATGTTGCAGTGATCTCTAGCATTTATGGAAGCTCAAGTTTGTAGAGGCGGATAACGAAAGGTGTAATAACGAGAGGTGCTTGGTTCCGGTAGCCAGCTTGTTTCCATCTAGAAGTAAAATCTTGATGACTAGGGTTGTAATTTCAAGATTTTAAGAGGAAATAGATGGTTGCCTCTGATCAGTCTGCCACCTCATACCTGATTATGAACTACTCCTTTGCGCCTGATATGTTGATAGTGATCCGGTTAAGGAGGTAGAAGTAAGTGGCACAGAACCCTCTCCATCGTCTACTCTTGAGTTTGGGCAAACTTCATTATCTGCACTCCATCGCCTTGTCGCTGAAGGCGATACAGATGGGGCCAGGTATGTACAATGGTAGTGTTTTTGTAATTTTCATATGTGTTGGCTCCTTGGTGATGGAACTTTGCTTCTGAATACTGGCGCTTCAATACATATTAGTGTGAATGTGGTTGGTGTCAGGGATCTGCTTTCAAGAGCTGCGGCAGGAAAGGTCGGAACGTCAGTAGGAGCACTTCTCGACAGTCGCAATGTAGACGGGCAAACTGCACTTCACATGGCTGCGATGAGAGGTTACTCAGAGATAGTGGAGTTGATACTTGAATATCCAGAGGCGGACGTTGAGGTATTAGACAAAGATGGGGACACTCCTATTGTCTTTGCTGTGGCATCTGGTACACCGGAGTGTCTTAAGGCTCTAATCAAGAAGGGGGCAGATGTCAATGCAAGGTTGAAGGATGGTATGGGACCAGCTGTGGCACATGTTTGTGCATTTCATGGCCAGCCTGATTGCATGCGGGTACGTATGTTTCCCGTCATGACTATGTTGAGCATGCTGCTCATTAATACACGAAGTAAAGATGGAGCAAGTTGCGTAAGAATTGGATTATTGCTCTTGATTAATATGAATGCACTTATGGATATCAGGAGCTGCTTTTGGCTGGTGCGAATCCGAATAGCGTCGATGATGAAGGAGAGACAGTTCTTCACCGGGCCGTCACCAAAAGACATACAGACTGTGCAATAGTGATTTTGGAAAATGGTGGCTGTGGTTCCATGGGTATACGGAATGCAAAAGATCTTACGTAAGTACATATATATTTACGTTTGATCCACTGAAGCTGACTCCTGCTAATTAGTTCTCACTTCATTTCGTTGGTAATATTCTGTTGTAACTGTGATCTACGAGTAAAAGATTCTCAAGAAAATCTCTCACACCAGCTACAGATAAAAAGGGTCTGCTTATGTAAAACATGTGAACTTCCTCAACGACTACTGTTATTCGAACCCGGGTGAAAAAATTCCTGTAGAGGTCTTTGCAGAAACTCACGATTGTGTATCTGAGATATGGTTTCGTCGATTGTGCAGACCTCTGCACTTATGCACAGCAACTGCGAATGTGGCTGTCGTGAAGAAGTGGGTGGAAATAGCTACGAAGGAGCAGATAGAGACTGCAATAGAGGTGGTCAGTTCCGTGGGAACTGCATTGGTCATGGCAGCAGCCCTCAAGAAGGCCCATGGAGAAGGTGGGAATATGCTTTACAACCATACCCATAGCAGCAGATGAATCATAGAAGGGCTGTTTTGATGTCCTTCGTCCATGTCCTCATGTATCTCTTAAAATTTCGTTGAAGTTGAGTGCAGTTTGTAGTAACGTCCAAGTTTTAAGTACATTGTGTTCAGTTATTTCATTGCCCTTACAATGGCTTCGTGGATTCTATTTGGCTCGTATGGAATCAGTACCCGTGTCTTTGAGGATGAGTCAGATTGCCAATACGCTTAGTCATTCACCATTAAAGATATCATGGAGTTTACTCGGTGCAGAAGCACGCGACCTTGTAAAGATACTATTGGCAGCTGGGGCAAATCCGACCGCTATGGACACACAGCGGGGCCAAACAGCCTTGCATGCAGCTGCTATTGCGAACGACGTTGAGATGGTGAAGGTGAGCAATGCTACTCGCAACTTAAATGTTTTGAGTTGACCGAAGTTACACGTGTTTCCAGCAGTCTCGGTTACATAGTGTGGGATAAATACTAAGTTGAAAATGTCTTCCTTTTGGTGGGATACAGATTATTCTTGAGGCAGGCGTTGATGTTGATGCGCGGGATATCCACACCACCACCCCATTACACGTGGCACTAGCAAGGGGATCTAAAGCATGTGTTGGCTTACTTCTTGAAAGGGGTGCCAATTGCAACGTTCAGGTGTTGATATACCACCTGCAACATATCAGTCGTGATGTTATGAGTTCTCAGTTCAAGCAGAGTGAACCACCGCTCTGGTTATGTTTCTCCATTCAATAGTCCTCAGATTTTCGTGATTTTCATGTTATGGCGTTGTTCTCAACAAGAGCTTGTCCTGCCAATGATCAGGATGATGAGGGTGACAACGCCTTCCATATAGCCGCAGATATGGCAAAGATGGTCCGAGAAAACCTGGATTGGATTGTGGTGATGCTGCAGCAGCCTGATGCAGCAATTGATGTCAAAAATCATAGGTCATAATCCTGTTTTCAAGTTTTTCATGATCTCAAAGCGGTTATTAGTGAGAGCTTGCATCACAGTCACAATTCATCATCCTGTATTAGGCCCGTCAACCTAGTGGTTTAACCTCACAAATGATTTCTCACCTTAATAGGTTTCTTTCGAAAACACATACTGCTAGATGTAGATTCAATATTGACGCCTTTAGTACGAGGGTGGTTGTTGTCTGCAGTGGGAAGACATTGAGAGACCTTTTGGAGGCATTACCAAGGGAGTGGATTTCAGAAGATCTTATGGATGCGCTGGCAACAAAAGACATCCAGCTTTCACCAACGATGTACGCTTTAGCTCTTGAACTGCTTTCAGTATCTCATGTTGATTCTCCAGATGCTTGATGGTTGTCAAGACTATACATTGATTTTCTTTCAGCATTGTTTAGCTTGTACCCTTACAAATATCTGGGAGCTTTTCTCTAGAGAGCTTCTTAGTTTTTTGACATGTCATCCCATTTTTTTGCAGATTTGACCCAGGAGACTGGGTGAAGTTTAAGAGGAGTGTCAGGACACCAACGTATGGTTGGCAGGGGGCCAGGCCAAGAAGTGTGGGCTTCGTGCAAACTGTTGTAGATAAGGAGCAACTGATAATTGCTTTTTGTACTGGAGAAGCACGGGTTACAGCTGATGAGATAGTGAAAGTCGTTCCTCTGGATAGGGGCCAACATGTCAGGCTGAAATCAGATGCTAAGGAGCCCAGGTAGGATCCCATCAAGACTTGAATATGCGACCTATATTGATAACGATTTTTTTGATATTTTTACAAATGGATTGAGAGATGAAAGGATCAGTGGTAAAAGAGGGTGTTTTTTTGGGGAGTTGCTGCTTTCTATTATTCTGCAATTACTGCGGTCACACAGTATACTGTGACCACAGTAAGATCAGATTTCGCTGAACTATGCATCTATCGCGTAGTTTTTTAACTTTTAGAGTCATGTGAAGAGATCTAGTCACAGCTGTTGGAACCCATTGTTTTGTGACTAGTCACTTTCCATGTAGCGATTGACGCATTGACTTCCAGATTAGACCTATCTAAACAAAATTTGTAAACTTAGTAGTAGTCTTAAATAACTGGAATTATGTCGGTATGGCACTCACTGCTTCTTTTATTTTCCGAAGTTCCAGAGAAACACCAAGTAGGAGAGATCAGTCTGGTAGGGGGTGCTTTATGCATATCATGATGTGTCCAATTCACTTGTATTATAGATGTAGAATAACTAGGAAAACCTTTTGATTACCATTCTGTTAGCAACCTTAGAGGTACTCTGTTGCAAGTGCCAACTCTCATCGTTCACCTAACCATTCCGCCCCGCCATTTGATTGGTCTTTCTCACCTTACCGGTAGTACTTTTCAAAAGACAGTTCGCGAGAAAAAGGTTTTCCAGATATGGTGAATATTGTTGTGGGTACAGCATTCAAGTCGTAGACAGTCATACGGATAGGTCTATTTTCAGTATCGTTTTTATCTCAATGAACAAGAAACCAACTGCACACATGTTTGGCTGGTAATTGCAGGTATGGTTGGCGTGGTCAATGCCGAGACAGCATTGGTACAGTTTTGTGCATTGATGATGACGGAATATTGAGAGTAGGCTTTCCAGGCGCATCAAGAGGTTGGAAAGCAGATCCGGCAGAAATGGAGCGCGTGGAAGAGTTTGAAGTTGGCGATTGGGTCCGCATCCGTCCTTCCCTCACCACTGCAAAGCATGGGCTTGGTCCAGTGACTCCTGGAAGCATTGGTGTCGTATACAGTAAGAGACCAGACAACAGCCTTTTGCTGGACTTGAGTTATCTGCAAGGTCCATGGCATTGCGAACCTGAAGAAGTGGAACGAGTAGAACCATTCAAGGTGAGTGAGGAAGTTTCATGTTTGATAGATTGACTAGTTTGCGCTTGGTACCTAACATGTATAACGATCTTATTCTGTCAAAAGTTCTTTGAAACACAGACACTCATCCTTGCTCAATGCTCATGTCTGCCTTACTATAATGTCTCATTACAAGTTTACATCCATTTATTTACTTTTTCTTGGGTTTCCTGGCGTTTCACTACACTAGGTAGGAGATCGCGTTTGCGTGAAGAGATCTGTCGCAGAGCCACGGTATGCATGGGGCGGAGAAACCCATCACAGTGTTGGAAAGATCAGTGAAGTCAGTAGTGACGGGTTGCTTATGATAGATATTACTGGCCGCCCGATCCTGTGGCAAGCAGACCCAGCTGACATGGAGAAGGTGGAAGATTTCAAGGTAATTGTTGAAATTTTGATTTTGCTTTGTATTTTGATAAGCCTTTTGGAAGTTTCAAAGGGTGCCAGATTTATGTGTGGACTAACTTAAGCGAGATGGGTCTTTAACCCCTGGAACTAAAAGAGAGATATTTACGCTGTTTCTTTTTGTGAAATCATGTCTAGCCAAAATTCCTCGGTGAAAATTGTTGTTTTTTGGATGTAAGTCGCTTGACTTACTGATCCAAACTCACATCCTCGTAAACTTCTTAGGTTGGTGACTGGGTACGAGTAAAAGCATCTGTCTCATCTCCTAAATATGGATGGGAGGACGTCACGAGGGGCAGCATTGGCGTGGTGTATTCTCTTGACGAAGAAGGTGATGTGGGTGTCGGTTTTTGCTTCCGCAGCAAACCCTTTTCCTGCTCGATAACTGACATGGAAAAGGTACCCCCATTTGAAGTTGACCAAGAGATACACATAGCACCGACTGTAACTGAACCGCGCCTGGGCTGGTCCAGTGAGACATCTGCAACAACTGGCAAGATTATGAGGATTGACATGGACGCAACTCTGAATGTAAGCTACTGATATGGGTACCATACATGTTTTGCACATGCATTTAGTTAATCGGAATATGCATTTACATGGAAATCACTGCAGAATATCTGAATGCTTTTTTCTTAAGACACATTTTATGGTACATGGGGAACCTAAAAATCATTTTCCTCATCACCGTAAGTTGTAAATGAATCGCAAAGATGCCCATAATATTTTTTCATGAGTTTTGTAGAAGTGACATAGACAGGCCTTTTGGAGGACTTTTGAAACCCATTAGACAGTATGAGTTTGTGATGTACTTCTTAAGTCATCTTGTTAGAAGCAGGTTCGACAACGTCATAAACAGGATCGTCTTTTTTAAGTGCGTGTACAAGCAATTGAGCTTGAACTTTTTACTGCTTATTTATTCATCTTGTCCCTTGTGCCATGTTGGGTTGGTCAGGTGCGAGTAGCAGGACGTAGTACTATGTGGAGAGTTGCCCCTGGAGATGCAGAGCGCTTGTCAGGATTTGAAGTTGGTGACTGGGTGCGCTTGAAAGGCTCGTCAGGCTTGAAACCCAGCTATGATTGGCATGGTGCAGGGAAAGAGAGTGTGGCTGTTGTACACAGTATATCCGACACGGGCTATCTTGAACTAGCTGGTTGCTTTAGATTAGGTCGCTGGATGACACACTATTCAGAAGTAGAGAAGGTGCAAACATTAAGGATTGGTCAGCATGTCAGGTTTAGAGCTGGATTAACTGAGCCTCGTTGGGGTTGGAGAGGCGCGTCACACGATTGTAGAGGAGTCATAATAGGTGTGCATGCGGATGGAGAGATAAGAGTCGCCTTCGCAGGACTTACTGGTCCTTGGCGCGGAGATCCAGCGGACTTGGAGAAAGAGGAGATGTTTGATGTTGGGGATTGGGTTAAGGTGCGTGAGGATATAGAAGAACCCAAACATGGTTGGAAAGGTGTTAGGCCAGGCAGTGTAGGAGTTGTTCAAGGCATAGCTTATGAAAGTGAAGGAGATGAGTACGGAAGGCCTCTCCTCATTGGCTTCTGTGGCGAACAAGAGAGATGGATTGGTTTACATTCCGAAGTGCTGAGAGTGCAACCAATCCGAGTTGGTCAGCTAGTCCAAGTCAAGGCATCGGTGAAGCAACCAAGATTTGGCTGGTCAGGACATAATCATGGCAGTCGAGGCACTGTGACTCTCATAGATGCGGATGGTAGATTAAGATTGCATTCCTCCATTGGTACTCAGAAGACCTGGATGCTTGACCCTGCTGAAGTAGAAGTCATCGAGGAACAACCTATCTGCATAGGGGACTGGATCAAAGTGAAGGGCTCGGTCCCAACACCCGTTCATCAGTGGGGAGAAGTCACTCATAAAAGTATCGGCGTTGTTCACAGAATTGATGATGATGGGGATCTATGGGTAGCCTTCTGTTTCTTAGAAAGGTTATGGGTTTGTAAACCGTCTGAAATGGAGCGTGTCGATGCGTTTAAAATTGATGATGTTGTAAGGGTTAAAAAGACTGTTGTCACGCCACGATGGGGTTGGGGAATTGAGACTTATGCCAGCAGAGGAGTTGTAACAGGCGTCGATGCAGATGGCAAACTGAGAATACGGTTTGCACGAAGAGAGGGTAGACTTTGGGTTGGTGATCCTGCAGATGTTGAGCTTGACTCTGAAGCTCCATGCATCACTTGAACATCAACGAACCAGCCATTCCGGATTAGAATTGTTTATTCTACAACAGGTTGGATTGCATGACATAGATATTTGCAAGTATTATTGATTTCTCAATTAGGCGGTGGATTCTTGTTCTGGTGGGGCTGCGATTTTTACCTCTACTCTTGCGAGTCTGCTCTAGCTTTAGTTAAAAGAGGTGAGGTGTTAATCGCATTTCTACCAGGTCCATCTCCTACTTGGGAAATCTCATAGTCTAGAATTGGTGATACTGGAATCACCTTTTGTACAGTTTCAGTTTTCTCGAACGTTGAGTATTTCACGGTACGTTGGCGGCTTCTTATGGATGTGTATGAACGGAGAGGGGAATAGAAGAGTGGATACACGATATTTGATAAAATGCAGAACCAAGATTGTACATGAATGAAACGACCTTGGTGTTTCAGTGGTGCTGTACAAACTGTTAGTCTTCAAGGGAGCATCAACTGGTACCAGTTACACAATCTATATGGATTGGTATGTTCCAATGCCTTATCCATTCTTTTTCTATTTTATTCTATTGTCAACTGTATGTTGTTGCAACGTAGATATAGTGAATCACGTTTGCTTTCTATTGGAAGCTTCTCTGGATGAAAAACATGTGTTATACAAGAGTCAGCCTGTTTTAATAAGCGTTGGCACTTGTGAATGATTGTGAGCTTGAAGTTCATAATACTACCTTGTAATGTAACCACACAGACAAGGTATGTAACACTAAGGTAATGGGAGTTGCGTATAGACTATGAAGTCGAGCCTGAAATCTTATGTATAAGTTCTTCTTTTTGTAGTCTTTATTTCATCGTTCATCTCATGGCCTGGCAGGGGAGTCCTTCTTGCGGTCTTTGCCGTTTGTGGCAGTTTTAGCCAAACTTCAACGGACTGTGTTTCCTTCGGGGACGAGCAGGTTGTCAAGCAGTTTTTTTGCGACAGAGGTTCAGCTTTTTGAAGGTCAGTAGCAGCACCTACTTCTTTGAGACGAGATAAATATTCGATCATCCATTCTCATTAACGGGCTGAAGTCGGTTATTGCTATAAAAAAAGTTGCGGATGTACAGCAGGATTTAAAAGCGTTGGCTTAACCCAAAACGACTTTTCTTTTCGTGAGTTTCGATGCGTTGGTTTTGTTTAATCTCTGTACCTCACAAACGATTCAAAGTTGGTAAAAACTGTCAATTGTGAGGTTTTCTCGCTATGCTTCTAATCACCAGTAGACTTTAATCTATAACAAGTATCTCGTGGTATTAGGAGGAGAATAATGGAAGAAGGCAGAGAGTCCAGGAATATACTTTTGGTAGATAGGAGGCAGATGAAACCAGTGGTTTACGATGTTCGTTCCTTTGGGATTTATGCTGTGTACTAGGATGCTTTAGTAGCATCCATTAAAGTGGAAGGAGTAGTGCTTTGACAGACGAGTTTTTGTCATCTTTTCCTTGGTAAACCTTCTGTTGGGCTGAATTATATACACGTAAAGAGGCATCTTTTTTCTGACTGCAAACTCACTATACACACATAAACAGGCTTTTTATGTTGGACTCTCCGAAGATCTCTGGCCAAGGGTGGCCAATTGTGCAAGCTGCGCGGGAGTGGAAGATGAGGAGGATTTGGTCACAGGATTTGTGGTCAATGATTACCAGTTTGGTTAGACATGTAACGGAAGGAGAATGTTATTGTTTGCTACCGTTCGCCATAGAGCTGAATGAAAAATCATTGTGTTTGTCATGTCTGACCATTAATGTACGTCGCAACCGGGAGAATTATTTGATTATAACATTTCTTGTTTCTGATGCGGTGATTAAGAGGTGGACAGTTGCATGCCCATGAGCTGTTGAGGAGGGCCTGAGGAGTAATCTCTCTTCTAGCTTTACCTTTTCAACATCGAGTATTTTGCTGCCTCTGAGCTGTGGTCTTATTCCAGTCATAATAAATGCATAGCAAAAAACATTGAAACGCATTTGCTGCTAGACCCAGTTCTGTCGTGTGCACACCCGCCAATATCTCCTTCTGTATCGTTTGGATCATGTTTCCTCTTCCACCACTTCCTGAATTCCTAACATTGTTGGCCAAGTCTCGCTGACAATTCCACTCTTGAGCTGTTTGATTCTACTCCTACGGCCGTCTTTTCAGGGAGACACATTTGCATCCGACTTTTCAGTGCATCTCATTAATTTTAAGGTGGTGTTTTACACACATCTTCTTCTGACTATGATTAATTGTGCACACTCTGCCTACACCCAGTAGTTTGCTCACATACACAATCCCAGGCCAACCAGATGCAGCTTGGTTTCTCAAGAGGTCCCAGCTCAAAAGAGAAAGTCCCAGAAACTCCAGAAGTGCTGTGATACACATGTATGTTCACACAACTTTTGTTCGTAATGTGTCAAGTACTCTTTTCTGATGCAATTATATGAATGGAAGGCCATGAAATGCTAACTGAGATACCCCGAAATTAGGCATATGGAATCCCTCCTGAGGGTGTACGAGGAGAAACACCACAAGACCGCTCGAGTCAATAGAAATGGAAGTAAAGTCCGAGTGTAACTGAAGGTTGAAGAACTAAGACTTCATATTTTTAATTCGGAATCTGCTGAAATTGTTGGTCTCAAGCTTTTAAATAATCGGGGAACCAGTTTTTAGAACTGAATATCACTCAGTTTCCAATGTTTAAGTTTGCAATACTGTGAACATAATTTGTACGTCATTAACGTCAAGGTCCTAATTGGTATTTGATCACACTCATTGTCTGCGAGGTCGGAGTGCGCAAATGCAAATCTCCTATGACGGAAGATCTCGGCAAGCCGAACAGGGAATAACCTCTAAAAATTTTGATGCTTAGACACCGCCCCAACTGCGTTGTTTTAGTCAACTTTGGCACGACAGAGTACCAAACTTTGTGATGCAACAAAAGTTCCAGTACACCTGAATACTTGTCTAATTCACTTGCACACATCTGTGTGCAAGGTCAGCTTTCTTACACCATCCGCTTCTAACACATCCACAATGTAAAACAGGCTTCTCCCAGTAGCGTCCACATTCTACACATGCGGGGCGTACTAAGTCTTAGAGTGTGTTGAAATTGGCGAGACATCAAATTAGATTGTGAACCACAATTTTAACCTCAAAGACTAAAGTGTCCTTGAGGAACAACATCTCCATATGAATCTATGTGCAATTATAACGTAAGAAGATAACAAACACGTAGAGAGTGTCTAACTGCACAAGAATACTAAAAGTAAGACTTTTCCATCGATAATAGACTTATTTCTCCACAAGGATGTCTATCTCCGTGCTAAATCTTGAATCCATAAGAACAAAAGTTTTGAATCACACACTTGAGATCTTTTCTTTTGATATAAAATTGTAGAGTTTTAAACTTTTCATCCCAATCATGATTTTAGATATTTTCATGGCTATTAAACTTAGTAAAAGGAAGAATTAATTAGAACATTGAAAAACTACAAGTTTGAATTTGTTAATATGACAGTATAAAATATGTCTCATATGATCCTATATATAAATTTAATTTATTTATTCTTATACTTACATGCATCATTCTAAAAAGGATATGGAATCAAATAATCTAACATGATTGCACATCATAACACTAGCGGTAAAGATATAGTCCAGACTTTAGTTCATTTGACCATGGTTAGTTAAATTAATAAGATAATGCTCTAAAAAAGAACTTGCAAAGGCTCTTTTTAAATGTTTGTATGTGTTTTGTGAGCGTAGACGTGTTGAGATGAACCAAATCTATCCTATATAAACTTTCGTGAGAATGATTTCAACTGTGTTCATTAATATAAACATACAAATGGAGCATTACTAGTAACAGTTTTGGGAGTGCTATCAGTGCAAAGTTCAAAGTAGTATTAATAGTGAGTGTTTGTAGCAAGAGGTGTGTTCATTAATATATACAAACAAATGCAGCATTACTAAAGACAGTTTTGCGGGTGCTATCGGTGCAAAATTCAAAGTAGGATTAGTGGTGAGTGTTTGTAGCAAGAGGCGTGAAGATATAATCTTTATGTAAAACTAACGAAAGTGTGAGACAATATAACAGTAGAATCTTACAGAAATTGATAATGCAAACAATTTGATAGAGAGCAGTTTTAAAGGAGGTGAGGAGTTTTACAACCAATTCACCTTATGTATTAGTGTCACACAAAAATTTAACATAATGGCAATTCATGAAGAGTTTTATAGTCAATACATCATATGAAATAGCAACTAACTTATTCAAGTATTTTCACTTCCAATTTCAATAAAATTTAATCTACATCAACTTAAAAATTAAGTTGATGTAGATATTCTGAAGATGATTGTATTATTTCAAATTTTCCTTACAATTACTTTTTATTACCTAAAGCATAGAGCATATTTCAAAGATGTAGTTTATTTTTTTGGTAGTTTTAAAACATTTGAAGTTGTAATTTGAAAACATTGAGTAATCTTTGACAGACTAGATTCTTGACATATTAAATAATGATATTATATAAAAAAAAAATTATGAATATAAATGGCGTATCCACAATTGATGCATAACAAATTTGACAATCAACTTTTTAGTCTTTTCTAGCGCAAAGTTTCAGGTGATTATTTGGAAATTTTGACATTCGACACAAATTATTTTTCTTCAACATCTTTGTCATCATAATGATTGAGTATTTTTTCTCTCTTTTATGGTTGATGTGAAGTTATGTTTTAATCATGTCAAAGGTATCAAGAGAAAGATATAAATACAATACTGTAATTTTAGTAATATCAATGTATGCTATGATTGTACAGATCATTGCATACATTACAAAATTTGGTATAATAATATACGATATGAATGCTCTCGATAATTTAACCTAAAGTTGATGTTATTTTTTCAACCATTGATTTTATTAGACACATAGCTGAATGTGTGTCATTAAATTTATCAAATTTAAAAAAAAAATAGTGAATACATATTGAATATGTGATCTAGGTTGAATATCTAGATATTGTAAGATTGTAATATCTAGATTTTGAAATCATGAAAAATTAAAATTATAGCAAAATTTGTAATGCAGACGACAACTCACACAATATTCTAAAAGTAGTAGTCAATAGTACTCGTAACTAATGTTTGAATATCGTGTGATAATATTCGGTACTATCGTTGAAAGTAATTACGGTTGTGAATGGCAACTCACACAAAGCTCGTACAGTAGTTCCCTGGTAGTAACATTAGTAATGATACTGAAAGCTCAAGTAAAACTGGTGTTGACACTGAGATACAATTTTCTGAAGATCTTTATTTATATTGCTACATAAACTTAAAATTAGCAAGTTGACAGCACCATTAACTTGGGAAAAGTCTGAGCCGTCTAGTTTAGAAAAAACTAAATTTCTGCTAAGTTTGAAAACAGCCAAATTGCCTCCCAGTTTGGAAAAAAATCAAGCTACCAATGAATATGGAAAGAATCAAACCGCCTCTCATTTTGGGAAAGAACCTAATCTCCATTGACCCCACCATAAGTGACATCAACAAGTTAACACAACACGAGTTATTAAAACAACAAAAAAATTCATGTGATATTACATGATTACAGCCTTCTGTAGATTCAAACTTGTTGGGATCTAATATCTTGGCATTTGATTTTGTCGAGTATTGACGATGCAATTTTTTGATCATTTTGGAAACGTTAGAAAGGGTGGCAACAGTTCCCAAGTTCAATAATTTACTTCATAGCTCTAACATTGTTCAAGATATTCTAAACTCTTTCGATTGATGATGGAGTTGATGATCTTAGAAACTTCAAAATTTATCTATTAAATTCAATGGGTGGCAGAGATGTTGACGACTATTCTTAGATAGTTGATTTTCTATACATTTCAAGCAAGAAAATATGAAAGATTACATGAAATTTCATATTTGATGATAAGTTCAACCTGTTTGCTACCTCCATGTCATGCTTACTCACGCAAAAAAATCTAAGACGACAATAGTCAAATTTGTTGCTTGATCAGCCAGTCTTCAAATTGCAACGCAAAAGCCAATTTTTATCCTCAATTGAAATGTTTGGATGTCAATTTCAAGATTTGTCTGCAATTTTCTTTTGTCACTTTTGAGCTTTTACAAGCATTGTTTTCATGTTTTGGTGTACATCCACAAGTCTGGTGATCAAATCTTGCACAGCTGGATTTTTTGCCAAACTCAAATTCAAAAAGTCAAATCCTAGATGATATTTGTAGTTTATGAAGAACCAAGTTTGATGTATAGACTCTTGAAATATATTGTTGTAGTCAAACTCTACGTCTGAAAAATTGAAAATACACTCAATTATTTTGATGATATTTGATGAAACACCTTAAATATTTTGCCAATATTTGATTCACTCGTATGATTTGTCCATCCATTTGAGTATGGACAAACCAAATGATAGATTAATTTTCACTTGTTAGATCTTAAATGGGGATTGTCAAAACTTGGACGTGAACTGCTTACCACAATCAGAGATGAGCTGAATCTTCAAGAACAGAAAGTACTCCGTGGTAGTATAATAATCCATCTTAGAACTAAAATCTTGTTTCACCATAATGAGATTTGTAAAGTTGTGAGCTGAAAATTGACTGATTTGACATATCTAAATCTAAAAGGTATGAGCTTAGATTCGAAATTCCTCTAGGATTGAAGATATCAAAATTCATTTTCACTTTCAAGGTGAAAGAATCCAATATCAAACTTACATGGATATTTTAGAGAAAAGATGCATTCATTGCGGTTGTGGTGCCTAGTTTTTAGCTGAAAATCCTCAATCTTGATAAGTATAACGTGCATCTACTTTTTTTGGTGCAAAATACACTTGTCAAAAAAGAGCATAAGACTAAATTTGCTTGCAATTCTTACCTTCCGTGATGAAAAAGTTAAATTGCGAAAGCGATATAATCTAACAAGTTTATCATCAGTTCAATATCTTTACAGA